AAAAACTTCAATACCACTGAGTTCATTTTGAGTTGGCCACCTACTGCTGGGCATGGTGCCTGCCCTTGAGTGTAGTTTGTATATCCAGTGAGACTCCACTGGAGAAAAATAATTTCTCATTTGCAAGCTACTGTCAGTTGGAGATAGCTTCTTAGTTAGTGCTGGTAGATCCTGTTCACTTGCCCCTCTCAATGCAGGGACCTCATCTGGCTGGAGCCTATGTAGACCCTGTGTGTTCTACAACGTTCTCTGTGTGTTCATATGTCCACTGGTCCTCTCCCATCACCACTGGTCCTTACAATCTTTATAACTCATCTTCTGCAAAAACCGTACATTTGATCTGTAGCACTACCAACAAAGAAGGAAGCCAATTTTATAAAGATTGTTCACTTTTTGGACCTATTGATGAATTTGAAATGTAACATGAACGGCCAGGCCTGCCTGTTTGCGGGGGTTTCTGTCTTGCCCGGTTCCCCACGCCTGCTTAGCCCCAAAGAAAATCACACATAGGTCTTCATAAATTATGAGCTGATTGGCCGATTAGCTCTAGCCTCTCACTGGCTAACTCTCACATCTTGATTAACCCATTTTCCTGATCTACATTAGCCATGTGGTCAGTATCTTTTTTCAGTGGGGCAGATCACATCCTGCTGCTTCGGTGATCTGGGCAGGAGTGGGAGGAATCAACTTCCTCCTTCCCAGAATTCTCTTGTTCTCATTACATCATTTCTACTTCCTGTCTGGTTTTCCCGCCTTTATTTCCTACCTGACAAATCAGCATTTATTTATAACATGATTGACAGAATACAGACAATTCTCCTGCACCACTGTCCTAACTTCTGATCTTTCTAAATATTACCAACTACAGAATTGATAATCAGAAGTGTCCCGTCTTACTGCACACAAGAAATGAAAGTCAGAAAAAAATTAAATCATAAGTTTGGAGGGCTGGTAATAATTTTTTATTGGAAATATGCTCCAATTTGTAGAAGGCAAAGTGTGGGGTTGCAGATGTTTCTATAATAGTTTCAGTTAACAACAAAATACAATTTTTTATGTTTTTTTTTTTATTGCAGGAGTGACATGTGTCATCCCAGAGCATATGAGTGAAATCAGTGAGGAATTGAAAATGAAAAGATATTACTATGGAGATAATGTAACCTTGGAATGTAAGGAGGGGTTTACTCTAGATGGCAGTTCTCAGAGCCAGTGCCAGTTAGATGCCACCTGGAATCCTCCTCTGGCCAACTGTGTATCTCGTAAGTACAAGATACAGGGGTTGGAGCCCCTTCCCAGCATGGTCCCTCACTGGCTGACCAGTCACCTCTCTATTCTGGTGACCACTGTGATGAGGTGTTACAATATGTGGAGATTATGGAGCTAAGAATGTACTGTCTTAAAATAGAAGTTGT